TGGCATAACTATGATTTAACCTTATCTCTGTTATTCTTCTTTTTTATTTCCAAAATATGTAGCTGTCTCTTGTAGGTATAAAAATTATTTGTGGCAATTGGACAATTAAAACAGACATTTGGATCACAGGGAAGAAGAACAAACTGGGGAGGAGGGTGGAGAGAATGGTGCGGCAATGAAGGAGTGAAAGCCCAGAATCCCTGTGAATGTTCATTGAAACTAATAAAATTTAATAATAATAAAAAAAATAATAATTTGTGGGAATATGTCCATATAGACTTTTCTCTGGCTCATCAGGAAGGCCTGATGCCCACTGGAGAGCATTAAAAACACTTTGTTGACTAATCTAGTCTAAAATAAATATACACTCATAAAAATTTCCTTTTATTCTATAAATGCCATTTTTCCTCCAATGTATGCTGTGTTTGACGGTTACTCATTGCAGTTGAGTTGATGCTGACTCATAGCAACTTTCCATCTAGTTTCTGAGGCTGCAAATTGGTGTGGCAGGAGACTGCCTCTCTTTCTCCCTCACAGTGCCTCAAACCACTGACTTTTCAGTGGGCAGCACTGCGCTTTAGCATACTATGCCGTGCAAGCTCCTTTGCTAGATGATAGCCTCATATTCATCTGATCACCAGCAGCAGAGAAAGAGGATACTGCACACGATCTATCTTTCAAAGCTGCACACAATTCAGAGAGGTTGAGTGATTTGCCTGTGGTCACACAGCTGGGAGGTAAAATGGCAGGATCTGAATCCAGACTCATTAGATTGGAAATCTTCATGTCGTGTCTTTCGGCCTCCACCCTGAGGAGCCTTTCAAGGTTGATGAGAATGTGCTGTCTGAAACATCTGAAAAGTGCACCAGGGAAAGAACCTACAACGTGATGCTTTATAAGAATAGGGAAATAATTAGCTGAGTAAACAAGTAAACTGGTACCAAGCTATTTGATATTAATAATATCAGATACATATTATGTACATTTAAGAGACAAGCAAGGAAAATGGAGGTTTGATGAGGAATACATTTTTTTCTTCTCAAGTGTCAGCAACTCCCTCCTAGATGAGGTAAGTATGATGGATGCCTTTTCCTGTTAGAGTTAAGCTTCCTCGTTCTCACTCTCCTCAACCCCCATGCCTCTATTTTTTCTTTCTGTCTTGATAGCAGGACTCTAACCTTAGGACTCAAATCTATTTAGATTGCAGCTCTCTAAGGATAGAAAGTCTTGCTCCTTTTTGGATTCCTGGAGCCCAGGATGGTACTGATGCTATGAGCGAACATGCCGCTAGGTTACTTTCCTGCTTTGGGTGCCGGATATGGGGGCAATTGCCAGTGAGTCAATTCAGACTCTGTGACTCTAATGTTTCAGACTAGAAATGCACTCCATAGGATTTATCATTACTTTTTGGAACTAGATAACTCTACTTTTTCTTCTGAGTCACCCCTGGGTGGACTCAAACTTCTGACCTTTCAGAAGTTTCATTTGACAGCCAAATGTGTTAGCCATTCACACTATTCATGGCCCCCATTTTCCTGCTCACTGATAATCAGTGGTAGAGCCTAGACTGAGCTCCAACAGGCCTCTTTCTGGAAGTCACTCATGCCTATATCTACAACTCAGATCAAAAGTCTTGCTTCTACTTCAGCTGCTCATTAGCCAGTGAAATGGATTTATTTTATTGCTGCTATTTTAGTCTCTGTACCAGCTTCTATTTTCTGCTGCTGTGTAGAAAACCCAATAAGAAATCGTGTCTGCACCTCAAAAGCTGCCACAGTTGGTATGTTTGCCACTGCTCTGTACTGTGACCATTGAGTGGTGGCTATTATTATGTGCCGTCCAGTAAGAACTGACTCATAGTTGTCCCTCCAGCAGCTTTTCAGAGACTGTATATTGCACAGGGGGAGAGGGCTCTTCTTTTTTTTACTGTGGATTGGAACCATGTGCCTTTGCATTGGCAGTTCAACTCCTTACCATTAGGTCATGAAATCATTTTGGCGGTAGAACTTCTCCCTTGAGTGTCCTGGAACAATCTGATGTTGTTGTGTACCATCAAGTCAGAACCAACCCAAAGCTGAACCTCCAGCAGGTTTGCAGAGGCAGTCAATTGCCTGATTGCCCATCCTTCTCGTGTGGAACAGCTGGTGATTTTGAACTACAGGCCTTTGGGATTGCAGTGCAGATTTTTGCTGCTAGACCATCAAAGCTCCTTGCTCTTGTGCAAATGCCTATATATATGTTGTTGATTGCTGTCAAGTTGAGCATGACTCAGCGACCCTGTGAACAAAAGACATGAAGCCTTTCTATAACTATTTATCAAAGTTCATAGAATTTCCACAAGCATGTTGTTTAGGAAGTGGATGTCACTCCTGCTTTCAATATATCTATCGATATATCTATCAGTATATCTATCAATATATCTATCAATCACTCAATCTACTAATATATGTGTATCAATATATTTATACCTATCTATCTAAACAAGCTACAGCAGCAAAGTAAATTATTAGATTAAATGTACTAAGAGAATTGCATCTTTTCAGGACTCAGCTAAATAATAAATGTATACTTATCTCATCCATGTGTCTTTCTAACATTTCTGTAGAATGCAACACAAAATGCTTTCCACTTCTGTTTTGCCTGTGCTGATGGCGTGTCAGTGTCAGTGCATGCCTCCCTGCTAAGAAAGTGACAGGAATTACATTCATTATCTTTTGTTGTTGGTGCTGTTTTGGTTGCACTCTTCTATCACTCTGTACTTCAAAGGAAGTTGTTATTAAAACATTATGTAAATATGAAAAATATATTGAAAGAAAAAATATTTCAATTATGAATAATATATACTGGCAAGAAATTCTCAGAGAATGATGATTTATGACAGGTGGCAGAGATGTTTTTAGTTGCCTTATCTTTTGGGTGGTGGATAAAGAAAAAAACATATTCAGCACAGAGATTTTTCAGTAATTCTTATTTTAGCATGTTTACAGTAGGTTTTAAATGAAGTGACTGAATGGAATTGCTTTAAAAGAATTCAAATAGTTGCTTAAAAATCTCCTATACTGTTTTCCCACGATGTATGTGTGTTCCTTTGTGGAGCTTAGGTCAGTATTTGTTTTGTGTTCTTTAATAGATCTGTCCCCCACGTCCACATCCATTCACTTTTTCTCTGACTCTGCATAGGATGTAATAAGTAATTTTTATGTTACATGAGCAGGCAATCTATGAGTAAAATGTAGTCCAATAGTGACTAAGGTCTACAGAGCTGTGATTGCAACTTTAGTACTTGAGACTGCAGAAAATGAAGTCAAGATTCCTAGAGGTTTGATTAAAATGAAGATCTGATTAAAAAAGTTTCAAGGAAATTTAAGAAAATAAAGAACAAAGAATGGGGCATATGTGTGTGTGTACGTGTGTGTGTATGCGTGCGTGCTGGCTGGTTGCTTTTGGCAATTTCATTTTCTTGTAGAACTGTTCCTTAGAACCAGGGAGCTCTGGTGGCTTAGTGGTAAGGAGTTGTGCTGCCAAACCAAGGGCTTAAAGTTCGAATCCACAAAGCACTCCGCAGGAGAGAGCCAGGTATTCTCCTCCCTTGCCCAGAGGCAATTTACTACCTCTGAAAACCTAATGGAGGGTCAACTCTGTGTTAGTTTTGACTCCCAAATCATAATAACACAATATTCCCTACAACTAGTCCACCAGTGCTAAGGTATGGCCTGAGTGTTCCACTATAAACCTGCCTTTATTTAGTTTATCACTAAATTATAATTGAAAAGTAAAATTATCTTTAGGTATTTTTTATTTTAAAAGGAAAAATGTTTTCACCCTTCCAAAACCACCAACAATATTTGATGTATTAATGTTGACTGCTTGTGTATGGTGTAATAGATTAAGTATTGGGCTGCTTATTGAAAGGCTGAGGACATGAAACCCCCAGTCTCTCCAAGGAAGAAAGAAGCTCACTCTGCTCCCATTAGTATTTGCTCCCATTAGTGTCAGAAACCCTGTGGGATGCTTTTCTCCTATGGGTTACTGGGAGTCAGGATTGACTCAGTGGCAATGGATTTGGTCGAGTTTGGAGAAATCTCCAGGCAGGAAATCACAAATCTCAAAGAATACACAAGGTTCCAATAGGGCTATGTAGGAGAAATGACTGAGATCAATTTTGGTGGCCTAGAAACAAGAAGCTGAGCTGCAATCCCATAGGCATACCATTCGAATCCACTATCCACCAGCTGCTCCATGGGAGAGCGTGTTCCTGTGTGACTGATTAACTGAAAACCCTCTGAGGGTCACCTAAGGGTTGGTTCCAACTTGATGGTAAACAATAACAACAGGATAGAAATAGCGATCACTTATAATTTTACTAAATTCAATTACAATTATTTGAATAGTCACATTAAATTATTTTAAATGAATGATTAAGGTATATCACAGAATTGTAAACACTGAATCTAAGAAAACTTAGTCTTTGTCTTAATAATAGCAATAAATGTTGCTTATTCTTAGGAGAAAATAAAACAATAGTTCTTGAGAGTTTTGTGTCTATTTTATTACTTTGTAATATAACAGTTTTGCACTTTTATAAAAGTGTTTTCAAGCTGGGCAAACTTACACTTTCATGAGGAAGAAATTTGCAAAAGGAAGTTAACACTGGCTTAACTTGTGTCATTCAAGGAAAAGGATGATGTTCAAAGACAATCTGCTAATTAGCTGCAGAGCAATTATGTACCGACTGTTTCTATAAAATAAATACATGACCTAAAAACTAATTTATGATATTAACTTGATAAGTATATGTTTATTGTGCAATATATGTACTAAAAGCTTCTAATTACAGTAAGTTAAAAAATGTAAGTAATTGGCTGCTTAAAATAACACTCTTATTTTTAGCCTTTGCATGAGTTAATTCAGTTGGAAAAAACCCAGATATTCAGTGGTTTATTTATGTAGTCGAGTTGCTTCCTTTGCTTTTAATCAGGCACTCGTTTTCTGTATTTCAGGATCTAGATTTCTCATCACATCCACGGGAGCCTTGTATATTAAAGATGTACAGAATGAAGATGGATTGTATAACTATCGCTGTATCACGCGACACAGATACACCGGGGAGACAAGACAGAGTAACAGCGCTAGACTTTTTGTATCAGGTAAAAACTCATCCTAACCATGTTTACTATGGTATATCTTAATTAGTTGTCATTCCACAGATCCCATTCAGCTTTGTCTCACACTGGTCTCTAGCTCTCCACCACCTCTCCTGCGGATAGTATTTCTGCCAAGTCTCAGTCTTGCTTCATTCTGTGCTTGAATCTTTGGCTAAAAGGAAGCACTGCATTTTTGCTGCTTCTTCCTTGATGATAGCTAGAGATTCTGTTTCTGACTTTGAACACACTCTATGCCTAGTGGGATGGCAAAACTGACTAATCCCTTAGTGGTCTACACATGCTATTTTCATGTCTGCAGAAAAAGGATGTACTCACCAAGTTGTGCCAAAAAATCTGGAGGACAACCACCTGGCCTACTGACTGGAAGAGATCTATATTTGTTCCCATTCCAAAGAAAGGTGACCAGACAGAATGCAGAAATTATTAAATAATACCATTGATAACACATGCAAGCAAGATTCTGCTGAAGATTATTCAACAATGACTAGCACATTGACAGAGAACTGCCTGAAGTGCAGGCTGGGTTTAGAAGATGTCATGGTACTAGGGATATTATAGCTTATGTTAGATCGATCTTGGCTAAAAGTGGGAAGTACCGGACAAATGTCTATCTGTGTTTCACTGACTATACAAAGGCATTTGTGCAGATTGCAACAAACTGTGGCTGACTCTGAGAAGAATGGGAGTCCCAAAACACTTGACTGTGATTATGTGAAACCTATACTTGGACCAGGAGGCAGAAGTCAGATCAGAACTAGAAAACACTGCATAGTTCAAAATTAGGAAGGGTGTATGCCTGGCATGTGTTCTATCTCCATAAATTTTCAATTTATATGCAGAACAGATTATCTGGGTGGCTGGGCTCTATGAGGAGAAATGTGGCATCAGGATTGGAGGGAGACTCATCAACAATCTGTGTTATGTAGATGACACAACCCTGCTTGGTGAAACAGAGGAGGTTCTGAAGCTCTTGTTGTAGAAGGTCAAGAACTTCAGCCTTCAATATGGATTGAAGCTCAACTTCAAGAAAGCAAAGATTCTCACCACTGGGCCAATTGGATAGATGGTGAAAAGACTGAGATTGTCAATGGCTTTAGTTTGCTTGGCTCCACAATCAACACTTTTGGTACCAGCAGCCAGGAAATTAAGAGATAAATTGTATTGGGAAAGTCTGCTGTCAGAAACCTCTCCAAAGTACTGAAGAGCAATGATG